CCCTCCCTCCCTCTCTCTCCCATCTCTTTGTTTCTCTCCTTTCTCCTTCTCTCTCCTCTCTCCCTATAGACCCCTTTCCTCTTTTTCTCCTTTCTTTCTCTCTCCCTTTCTTTTTCTCTCTCTGTGTGACTCTCTCTCTGTCTCTCTGTCTCTGTCTGTCTGTCTCTCTCTCCCCCCCTCTCCCCCTCCCTCCCTCACTCTCCCTCCCTCTCTCTTTCTCTCTCTCTTCTCTCTCTCTTTCTCTCTCTCTTTCTTCCCCTCCCTCCCTCTCTCTCCCATCTCTCTGTTTCTCTCTTTCCTTTCTCCTTCTCTCTCCTCTCTCCCTATAGACCCCTTTCCTCTTTTTCTCCTTTCTTTCTCTCCCCCTTTCTTTTTCTCTCTGTGTATGACTCTCTCTCTGTCTCTCTGCCTCTGTCTGACTGTCTGTCTCTCTTTCTCTCTCTCTCTCTCTCTCACACACACACACACACATACACAAGTCTAGAGTCTATTCCCTAAAGGAGCATGCCCAGGGAAGGGGTTGCCTCAGTGTGGGGTTGGCGGGAGGGCATCAGTCTTAATGAGGAGAAAGGAAGTGGAAAGAGAGCCCTGAATCATAACCCACACAATCCTTGCTCTAGCCACAGAATTGTCTGGGTTTTTGTTTGTTTTGTTTGTTTTGGGTTTTGGTCCTCTTATACAGAGCTAATTGGCCTGTGTGGGAATTGGGATCTAAACTAGGTTTAGGATTTTTTTTTTTTAAACAGACAAGAGGAACTTTAAAAGATACAGCATTAGAGTATAGAATGTTGGGACATAAAATGTTAGAGCTGAAAGAGGCTGTAGGACGTTGAATATCAGCACTGAAAGGACTTTAGGGCAGAGAGGTAGGGTAGTGGAGAGAGTGATAGACTTTGAGTCAGGGTTAAGTGACTTGCCCAGGGTCACCCAGCTAGTAAGTGTCTGAGGCCCAATTTTTACTCAGGGAGTTGAGTCTTGTGGACTCCAGACCCGGCGCTCTATGCACAATGGCGCCCCCTAGCTGCCTCTGCCAGGCTTACAAAGTGCTTTCTTTGCAGTATTCTTGTGAGGTCTGCAGCCCATTTCCCCCCATTTCATTTCTAAGCAAACTGTGGTTCAGAGGATGTTGGTGGGCCCAGGGGAAGGCAGAGCATCCCTAGCCAATCTGCTTGTACAGTCAGCCTGGACAAACTGAATTCCAACTTATTTCCAAGTCACTGGAGGTAGCAGAAGGGAGGGAACACGTCATGTCCTCTGTGGACCTTGAAGCACTCTCTAGTTTGCAATTTTCCATTTTTCTTCGCTGTGAAGAAGCAGAATGTTGTGTTGTTTTGTTGCTGTCATTATTCGGTTGTGTCCGACTCTCTGTGACCCTATTTGGGGTTCTCTTGGCAGAGATACTGGAGTGGTTCGCCATTTCCTTCTCCAGCTCATTTTACAGATTAGGAAACTGAGGCAAATGGGGTGAAGTGACTTGCCCAGGGTCACTCATCTCGTAAGTGTCTGAGGCCAGCACTTTATTCAATGCACCATCTAGCTGATTTGGAGTTGGAAGAAACCACTCAAATTCCAGCTCTGGTAGAATTATGTGGCCTTGGGCAAGTCATCTACCCTTTCTAAGCCTTTTTCCTCATCTGTAAAATGAGGCATTTTGTCTAGATCAGGGGCTTTTAACCTGGCATTCATGAACTTTAAAAAATAAATATTTGGAAAACAGAATTTTACATAATTTTTTTCCTTTATAAACCTATTCATTTTATTTTATACTTTCAAAAATATTCTTCGGAGAAGGAATTAAAAGGCTTCACCAGACTGCCAAAGGGTAGTTTAAGACATTAGGAAGGATAAAAACCCCTGGAGTCTAGAAGATTACCAAGGTAGAAAAGTTCTAACATACATGTGTACCTATCCCCAACCTAGCTTGCCTTCATTTAGTATACATATTTAATCAACTGATATATGGTACATATATGTAGTATATTTGGTACATACATGTAGTATATTTAGTACATATATGTATGTATGTACATCAGAGGTGTCAAACTCAGTGCTTCTGCTGTTGCAAAGCTCCCTGGTACAGCTTAAACCAGATCAAAATGTAATTAGGAAATGTTTAACAAAATAAATAAAAATACAATACAGCATAGATAATGTTAATTTGTGGTTTTCTCTATGCTTTCTCCCCCAGTCAAATGTAAGCTCTTGGAGGTTGGGTTTCATCTTTAACTCCTTAGCACTTAGCACAATGCCCAGCCTATAGTAAGCACTTCAGTCCCTGTTGATTAAGAGATTGATTGATTCTATGTTCTCAGGTTGTTTGGGGCTGTGACAGTTTGTGACAATAAACCCTAATAAAAGAGCTAAGTCAGAGCTGACAACTTATCACATACCCATGTGGTAGCTTTTCCTTTTTTTTTTTTTTTAGGCAATTGGGGTTAAGTGACTTGCCCAGGGTCACACAGCTAATAAGTGTCAAGTGTTGGGTCTGAGGCTGGATTTGAACTCAGGGCCTCCTGACTTCAGAGCCAGTGCTCTATCCACTGTGCCACCTAGCTGCCCCCTTATGGTAGCTTTTACAAAGTGCTTTTATATCCATGTTCTTATTTGATTCCCTCAACTGTCCTCTAAAGGAGGCAAGGAAATTAGTTTTAACATCATTCATCAAATTGTAATTTAAAATCATGCTGATCAAAGAGATAATATTTATAAAGCACTTGAATCAGTGTGCGGCACCTAGCAGGTGCTTAATAGATGCTTCTTCACCTCCATCATCACCCAAGAGGTCATCTGATCAAGCCTTTTTTTCATTCTACAAATGAGAAAACTGAGGCTCAGAGAGGACCAGTGCTTTGCTTGAGATCACATAAGTAGTTAAGTGGCTGAATTGGGTTTTGTACCCAGGAGCTGGAAGCTAAGGGGGGAGGGGTTGGGGTATCTTTTGGACAGTCCCTCTGCTGTCCAAGAAGACTGGATTGCTCAGAATGGCCCACTTGGCTGTCCTCTTACCTGACATTCTGTTTCCTGCCCTTTGCCTTTGCCTAGGCTGTCCCCTATTCCTGGTACACCGTCCCTCTTTTGTCTCTGCTTCTTATAATTCCAAGCTTACTTCAAAGCTTAACCCCAACCCCCTCACCTACATGAGGTCTTCCCTTAACCCTACCCCTAGCTGTTAGTGTCGCCTCACCCTTACTCTGCTTACTTGGAACATTTTTTTGTATTTATTCATGTGACATGTTATTTGCCCTGATAGAGTGTAAGCTCCTTGAGGCCTCTCTATCCCCAGCACCTAGCACAGTGCTTGACACATAGTAGGTGAGCATTTAATAAATGCTGGTTGAATGAATGGATGGATGGATGGATGGATGAAACCTGGCACAGGGGTTCATGGGAGTTAGACCTGGAAGGGATGATCTAGTCCAGTCCCTTCATTTTATAGATGAGGGAGGAAGAGATTAGTTGATTTACTTGAGTTTCCTCCAATACCCTTCCTTATCACTGGGTTTCCCGACCTATGATTTCACTGTTCCATAGGGAACATGTCCAACAGTTCGACAGCTGTCAGTCTTGGTTAACAAGTGATACCCAGAGCCATGTAATAGGAGCTGGGTAACAGGTTTTGTCCTAGGGTACCAATATGGGAAAGGCACTTTGCTCTTCCTCCTCATGTCAGTTCTTTGCGAGACCTCCCTGCTTCCCTGTCTAGCCCTGGGTTGTCATCTCAGCTTCCTGTCATCATTCCTTGACCTTCTCCTCGGTCCTGATATCCCCTCTTCTTGAAACCTTCACCCACCAGGGAACTGGAGTCCATATGGTAGGAGTGAAGGCGAAACTATTCTGAGAGATTTGCAAGGCTGCTCCACCTTGACCCATGACACCTAACTGTGGTTATAACATGCTGCTTCTGGGCCTGGGGATCCCCACCATGTGCCTTTGACAAGGACCCCCGGGGGTAAGGGTGATGATGTTGGAAAGTGTTGGTGGACTGGGGATCCTGACCCTCCCCTTCTCCTTCATCCCCCCAGCTGAATTTGCCTTGGGTGCCAGAACTCCTTGTTATGGATCTGGCTCCATCTCTTAGTTTATTCCCATAAACTAAGTTTCATCTTTTGGGGGGCTGGGGCATCTTAGGAATATGTAGAAAATCCAAACGCCTCCGAGTGTCTCACCAGCAGAGCCATTCTCACTCCTAAGGAAGTCGACAAGATGCACGCCTGCTTTGCTGTCCAAGACAAGCTCATGGAGAGGCTCATGTTTAACGAGATGAAGCTGAAAGTGTTGGAGAACCAGATGTTCATTGTTTGGAATAAAATGAACCGCAGGAAAAGGTCTTGCCGTTACAAGATCCCTTCCACAGCCAAGTACCACTGCAGGAGAAATGGCGTCTCCTCTGCCTCGGGCTTCAGCTCCAATTCCCACGGACCTTGCTGACCTTTCCCCCCATTGACTAGTAAACCTTAATGCTTGACACTTGCCTTCTTTTGAGTAAATTTCAACCTGACAGGTGATGGGGAGTGGGCCAGGAGGATCAGAGCAAAGAGAAGCCTTCTCAGGCCAATCTCCGATATAATGGGGCCAGGGCAGGAGGCCTGGCAGGGGTGGAGTAGGGAGCCCAGGTGGATGTCCTTACTGGAGGAATCTCAGGGGAGACTGCCAGGAAAACTAGGAGGCAGGAGTGGGGAGCTGGGAGGACAGAGGATGCCCTGGGGAAAACTGCAGGAAAAGTTGTCTGGGAAAGTTCAGGAGAACCCCCTGGGAGAAAGGTAGGGAGCTCTGGTAAAACTCCATGAGAAGCCTTGGGGAATATGGACAGGAAGCTCCTGTGTGTCTGGGGAATACCCCTGGGGAGGGCGTAAAATAGCAGGGGAAGCCCTCAGGGGGAGACACTGGGAAATGCTGCAGTAGGGATGTGTGGGGGAGGAGGAGAAGGAAATCTGGACTGGAAGCCACATGGAAAAGAAAGCTTTGGGGTGGAGGGTGCTCTGGGGAAACTGCAAGAGAAGGGAAGGGGGGAAAGGGCTGCTTGGAACAAAGCCTTAGGAGAAATCCTAGGTTGAGCGATCACAGATTTAGAGCTGGAAGGAAATGTGAAGGTGACTGAGTCCTACCCTCTCATTTTTCAGAGGAGGAAACTTGGCGCCCATATTGGTTAAGTGATTTTCCCAGGGTTGCACAGCAAGTAGGGTCTGAAAACAGATTAGAACTCGGATCTTCCTGACTCCAAGCTCAGTGGTCTTTGCTCATTGTAGCAGGCTCTGTCTGCAGCAGCTCTGAAGTTCACAAGAGAGGTTTTGGGTGATATAATTGGGATGGAGGGGTTGGTAGAAATAGCAAGGAAAGTCCTTGAGGGAAAGCCCTTGGGAGAATTGGAAGGGACGGTCTGGAGGGGAATATGCCCTAAAGAATCCTCAGGGAAGGTTTTGGGGGCAGAGAAGGCTGCGGAGGAGGAAAGCTTGGCAGTAGGGGCAAGAGCACTGGATTTGTTAACAGGAGATCTGGATTTGAATCCTGTGTTGACTTGGATGCTTTTGGTTTGTTTTTTTTTTTTTGGGGGGGGGATATTTTCTTGTCCAGAAACAGCCACTCATGGACTTCAACTCACTGTTGATTGGTACAGAAGCTCTAACCAGTTCCGTTTCTGATCAGGAATGGTTTGTCCCTCCACAGGCAGCCTAGTGACCCAATTTCTAGGGGCTCGTGCTGTTGACACTAGACTTAATGCAGACATCCGATTGACTTTAGCCCAACTGCAGCTTGGAACACCTGAGGTCAAGAACTACCAGCCTGAGCCTCTCCTGGAGCAGGGACGTTGGGCAGAGGGCACCACTCCTAGTTGATACTGACACTTTCTATTTGAATGACCTTGGTCAAGTCACTGAATTTCTCTGGTGCTCTGTTTCCTGTTTTGGAAAAATTAGGGGATTGATCAAATAGCGTCTGAGATGACTTTCAGTGATAGATCCTGTGATATCTCTGTGGAGGAGAGATTATCTAGTGAAATTCTGGAAGCTAATAAGTCTTACTGAGGGAAAGTATATCTATATATCTATATGTACATATAGATATATAGATACACATATACATACATATGTACATATAGATATGTAGATAGTATGTGTGTATGTACACACACACATATATATGTATGTTTTTTTTTCTCATCGTAACTTTAGACCATTCCCTTTTGTTAATTTCTTTCGTGCTAGAGAGACCCTTCTTTCTCCAGAAGAGTTTGGGGATGTGAGGCAGTGTTGCACAGTTAAAAGACCATAGAAATTGAAGTTTGAAGTTTATAAAATAAAAATTTGACTCCAGAGAAGTGATGAAAATATGTACTTCTGCTTCCCTTCTTTGCAGAGGTGGGGGACAGTGGATATGTACTGTCAGACTCAATGATATGTTGGTTAGTTTTCCTGATATGCTCTCTCTCCCACCCTTACTTTTTTATTCTTTGTTACAACAAATGATTTGCTAAACAGGATATGTGAGCACGTGCGCATGCACGTGTGCACATACACACATGCACACTCACAGAGGAATGAAACCTATATGAAAACAAAAGATATCAATTAAAAACAAAAATTTTTTCCAAACATCCCACAAATTCTAATTTTGGGTGGACCAAATCCTCTACTGTTGTGCACAAAATATAAGATCTAGAGAAAGGTGTCCAGCTTAATAGAATCCTTTGTGGAAGATCTATGTGAGAGTATGGTCTTGGCATAGCCGGTTACTATGACCTTGGACTTTGGGCCTCAATGTCCTCATCCTTCAGATGAGGGGGCTGACTTTAAATAACCTCTAAAATCCTGTCCGGTTCTGTGGTTTTGAGGCAATGTAGGAATTTTGAGAAAAGAGGGTGGCTACAAGACATTGAGAGAACAGCCTAGACCTTCTCATTGATGCTCAAGGAAAGCATCGAGGGGAGGGGAACAGGAAGGAACTCGGGAGAGTGAGAGGGGCTTGGATCCCAGTGTATAAAGAGCCCATCCACCAGACAAAGGTAGGATGACCACTTATCATGTATGTGGTCAACAGGATTCATTTTTCAGGTGTGGTTTAGTCCAGACAGCTGCTGAGGCTCCTTCCACCTCTGAAATTCTACGATTCTCTGACTCCTCTAGCTAATGTCGGAGCCAATATTTAAATCTGATTCTCCAGACTACGAGCCTGGTTTTCTATTACACTGTTGGGTACCATTCTTGATGAGTAAGGCATTGGTGTGTATTGGAGTTGTCCTCATGAAGTTGGACCCATGGTGACACAAGAGTTCTGGCCTCTTGCTACAGAAAGTGCTCTCTTGGTACCTGTGACTAGGAGACAGGGAAGGAGAGGGATAGGGACCTATTAGTAGTGACTGACAACTGAGTGAGGAAAAGGTTCCAACTCTGTAGGCCATGAGTAAGGCAAGACAACTTTTGTTTTCTTTTTCTTTTCTTTCTTTCTTTTTTTTCTTTTCTTTTTTTTGGGGGGGGGTAGGCAATTGGGTTAAGTGACTTGCCCAGGGTCACGCAGCTAGTGTTATGTGTCTGAGGCCAGATTTGAATTCAGGTCCTCCTGAATCCAAGGCCAGTGCTCTATCCACTGCGCCACCTAGCTGCCCCCACCTTTAGTTTTCTTTTGAGGTCGTTTCTGTAGGAACTCAGGCAGCCTCCCCCTTAGATTTCTAGCAAAGTGGGGAGGGTATCTCTCTTCCCTTCCTCCTCCTCAGCAGCAATGGTGACTGCATGGTGAGGACATGCACCAGTCTAGAACTCAAAACTATCTCAAGCGTGGATGTGCTGGTAAATGGTTAAGAATCAGATCGCTGAAAAAAAAAATTAAGCCCAACACACTTTTAAATTTAATCTGTATTATGCATACTTTCTTGATCGCTTAAGTCTAGATGATCAAAAGAAACAATGATTTTGTTTTGATTTGATAAAAAAAAAAAGCCTTGTTGCATAGCATTCCCTATTTTCCAAGATGTAAATGTTCACACTGAAAATTTAACAGTTGGCTCTCATGGACCTATTTGAGTTGGTTCCAGCACCCCCTGACCTCAAGTCTCTAGCTGCCTCTTCTGTTTTATGATTCTTCTTCTTCTTTTTTTTTTTTGGCAATTGGGGTTAAGTGACTTGCCCAGGATCACACAGCTTGTAAGTGTCAAGTGTTTGGTCTGAGGCCGTATTTGAACTCACGCCCTCCTGACTTCAGGGCCGGTGCTCTATCCACCATGCCACCTAGCTGCCCCATGTTTTATGATTCTTTCCCTAAGCCGAGGTGACCGAACATTGATATTAATGAGATGTTTTCAGTTTAAATAGCTACTCTGTATGCCCAGTAAAGACCCAGGATCTCCTTGAGCTTCTGAGGTAGACACCGAGGCTAGAACCATCCATCTTAGCATCTCTGTCCAGTCACCAGTACTCAGGGAAAGAGGCATAGAGCAGAGGAATCAGCTAGGGACTTGAGATCCGGTCTCAGGTTCATCTAGGAAAGCATCTGTACCCACTGTCACATGCGCGAGTCACTATAGCTACTGCTGAGGGAGGGAAGGGGAGAGGGGTCCCCTTCCTTCCTCACTGGAAATCTGAGGGAGAAGTGTCAGTGGGAAGTGTTTCAACCCAACCTCCAGCTAAGAAAGGGCAGAGGAGAGGTGCGGACAAGGTGCCATGTGAGGACTGAAAAGGAACAGGTAACTCCTGACTGAGGAGAGGAGAGAAGGCTTCCTGGACAAAATGGCACCTGAGCTGGGCTTTAAAGAATCGGTGGGGGTATAGAATACTTCCAGAACAGCTCTGAGAGTTCAGGAGGGAAAAGATGGATTGGAGATTTTGATTTTGGAGGTCTGGAGAGTCTGAAACGCTTGATGAATGAGCTTTGACTTTATTTGCTAGACAGTATGGAAGCATTGTTTAGCAAGGGAGGGAGCAGCATGGTCAGAAACGTGCCTCCGGAGGACCATTCTGACAGTTGCCTGAATCATGGAGTGAAGGATTAGAAGCAGGTTATTGTTAACATCCTGATGAAGGGTAGCAAGGGTTTGGAGTAGCATGGTGGCCATGGCAACAGCAAGGAGGGAAATAATTGGAGACATCTTGTGTAGGTAGACTCATAACAGTTTCAGGCCTGGAAAAGAACTTAGAGGTTACCTGGTTCAACCCGTTCATTTCAGAGGTTGGGGAAAACAAGTTTGGGGTGGGGAAGAGGGTTGTTCCAAGCACAAACAACTAATTAGCAGGGAAAGGAAAGAGAAGTAACCACTTGGATACTGAGACAGAGGGAGGTGGAGAATGGGAAAGAGTGGAGAGTGAGAGAAGATAAAAACCAGAGCCAAGAACTAATTTGCTAGGAGTTGACCAAGGGACTGGAGGGCCATTGTGGGGTTTAGATGGCATTCCTGCTTAGCTATGGGCTGTTCTATATGTCCTTTGAGGCCTTTTCCAATT